TTTAACTTATTATTGGATTTTCACCACACCTTAAGGCAGACTGTCCATACAACTTCTCATCTTACACAAGGAATCCTTTAAAAAAATTTTTATACCTTAAGTATTTAATCATACAACTCTTAAAGCTCATCTCTTAAATATGTAAACATTCATTAAAATTGTCAAACCATTTGAGTAAGAGAATAACTTTCAAAAGAATCATCTTAATATCAGCAGCGAATTTAAATATTCCAAGAAACTATTCAAACCATCAACATAAATAATAAATTACAGATGTTCCGAGACACCTTCAGGGATTCCACTACTTATGTTCTCCCACTTGGAAAAAAATCTCATTTACATCACAGCTTTTTTACCAATAGGATTTTTTTTTTCCATCCAGTTTTTAAGTTTTTTACTAAAGCCATAAGCATCGAACTTCTTAATGAATCATGTAAGCCACCTTATCAAAGATTTTGTAAAGTCGGGGTATACAACATCAGCCAGGATGTCCTTATTTAAAAAAACCAGAGAAACTATCAAGAAATATATATATTAGTAAGGCAAGAAAACCGTTTTCTCAAACTGTGTTGAGAATTAATATTTAAATGCTATCCTTTCAAATGTTTTTAATGATGTTTGATATCAGATTTTAACAATAAAGTCAGACAAATAATTTTCCGAATCTTACGAAGACTTCTTATTTAAAAAAGATCAAGATCATAATGTCTATTTTTGAATCGTCAGTTATAGCCCTGCTATCTCGTTGGTCAGCTTTTTCAAGGTTTTAGATATTCAAATCTTTTCCAGTTAGATTAACAACTTCTAATTTAATGAAAAGCCATTGCATTTTGGTAATAGTACATTCCAACGATGTCCTGTTGCTTAGCAACAAAAGTATAACCTAATATTGTTGTTAGTCTGTATAGGGAAAGTTAACCTCTTATTCTTCTTTTCCCAAGAGAACATAACGAGTGATCATAACCTAGTCCTAAAAGATAAACACTTCCATTCCTGATATTGTTTTTAGTAGCCCTTCTCTGAACCGTTTCCAACAATTTAATATTATTTCTTTATATGATATCGTGTAGTTGTTCAGTTTCCTGTTATATATTTTGGCAATGTTAATTACATAGAGATGTTACACTTTGTAACATGTAGGCCAGACTGTGAAGCACAAGTGAAAAAATTTCCTAATGCTTCATTCAAGAAATTCGGAACAGAGGAAGAGGCTTGGAGTTTTGTCCAGAATGAAGCCTCGGGAGGTTCAAAAATCAGTACGTCTTACTTATTTAAGAAATTAATATTATTTTTGTGTTGTATAATTGGTACTGACATATTGTTTTATCTATGATCCTGTTTTCTGTTTCATACAATTATTAAGAAAAGTTTAGATGTAGAATTATGCTATAAAACTGTGCACTGAACTTGCACGTTCATCAGGCTGACATCACTTCCATTTCGTGCTGCATTTAACCTAATTTATAGATTTTTCAAAACTAGTTTGAGAACTTTAAAAAGATTGCAAGTTATTGATGTCTAAAACTTATATTAATAGATATAATATATGCACATAAAAACAACTTATAGTGATAGTAACATGAAGACGTGTCATTCGGTGGATCTCTCTCTCTCTCTAGGGCATTGGTGAGCATGGTCCTTCATGTTCCCAGTCTCTCATTGCTCTTATTGTGGATATCTTGTCAATATACAGTATTAATGCAGAATAATTTATATAATTACAATAATGTAACACAAAATAATTAATTTCCAATTGTTTTTTGAGTGTATTAACTGAAAAAATTAAAATGTGATTTGGGACTGACTTATGGGTATTCATAAGAAAATAATATATAATTATTTCATTTGATTGATTAATTCTTGTAAAGACTGGTTTCATTTTTATAGCCACGTACTGTTGGTTTTGTTTAGAATGTTTCTTTGACCAATTGAATAAGTTGATTGGTCAACTTTAATATTTGAACAAAGAAGAAGGAATTTGAATTTTTACTCTCCATAAGACTCTAAGATATTTTTTGTTTACTTATTTGAAGTTATTCTGTCATGTGTCAACTTCTGATAATATCTAAAACTTCATCATTAAATAAATATTTGTTTAACAATAAGTAAAAGCTTGGAATGGTCCATTCTTTCATTAGGGTGCGTGTCTGTGGTAGTGTC